AGGAGGGCTCATGGAATTGATGTGGCAACACCTTGCTAAGGGAGAAATAAAGAAAGGAAACAAAGAAGCAGGTAACTTTTCTGGGTCCATGGTGCAAAATATTGCCTTGTAGCCAAGGGTTTATCAGTTAAAATGCTTTTGTTTATAGTATCCAGCTATGATATTATCTGACCATGTTTGAAGCCAGGCAATTTATCTGCAGCATTTATAACATGTGTCGGCATCTGAATGAGTTAGGATGAAGTCATGCATCATTCTCAACAGGTTCATCTTGTTCAAATAATTTAAGCCTGATCAATAGTGTCAAAATTGGTCACATGCTTGAGGTCTAGTTGTATTGCAAGCACAAAGCAGCATGAGCTATTGCCACCTCTGAATGAGTGTGTAATCCAAAGTAATGCACCTGACACTGAGAAAGGCAGCTGAGACAAACATGCAGGGCAGAGGATGTTTAAGTATTGGCCCATTACTTGTAATACAGTATTTTGTCACAAAGATGAATATGATCAGATCCCATGAATATGACAAGCACCACCATTGATTGAATGTTTTTAGTGCAATTCAGTGCCACCCAGTACATCCTAAGTCTGGGAGTCTGAGGTATCTTCTCTGTTACATACATTACATTCTTTTTTGTTGTTTTCTTCCCTGGCTGGACAAGGCACCCTTTGAGGCTTTAGAGGTCCTTATAACAACCATGATGTTACATGAGTGAATTATTGAACCATCAAACCAATTGCATTGGAGCTGCTGGGAAGTTGGCAACATCTTTAACCTTATCTGATGATTTGAAGGTCATTCTCATGGTGTATCATGAAGGACGCTGCTGTGTTGACATGTTAGTGCTTGCTTTATGTAATCTCACTGCATTGCATTTTGATAACAGAAAGCAAATCAGAAAGCTCAAGGCTTTATATGGTGTATTTTATAACAGCTGTAGATAAGTGGACACATTTACCCAACATGTGGCTGACAGGACAATGAAAAAGAGGTTGTCACTGTTTGCCAACCATGGTAGGCTCTTAAGATTGCCAAAAAGGTGTAAAACTTGGAAACCCAGGTGTTGAATTTATAGCACCATGCTTAGTAGCTACAAACCTCCGGAGAAACTGCAGGGGACCTCTGGGGCCCCTTGCACAGGTGGGGTTGAAATAGGTTCGGTCTGTTCTTACTAGTTGACAGAGATGGACTTGGCTGAGTCTGTCGGGCGGTACGTTCCAATTATTTGCCACCCCATCATTTATTTGCCTCCGTCTTAAATTCCTCGACATTAAGGGGAGTGTTCCACTTTGTATGTGGTTTGTAGCTGGAATAGCAATCTTGAAGATCATTCGGCGTAGTTAAATACTCAGCCCTTCTTTAAGCACTAAGACTCCAGTTTCCGAGGCATACGCCAGGGAAGATGTGCAGACTATTTGGGGGGGGGGGGATATTTCAAGGTTACCCGGGCTTCCATGACATAATAACGTCATTCAGATCCTGTTGTTCCATTGGCCATGCGGCGTTCAAGGCAAGTGAAAATATGATTGTGGAGTCGCTGGTATCTGGCGTTCGTGGGCACGATTGCCAGAAAAAAACGGCCGTTAGTTGACTCTGAATCGTTGTTGTGCACGTTATGCAAGGTTCTAGCACCAATCACGTTTTGTACTTACATACTATAAGACTTAATGGATTTTTCCTAGTTCTTACGTAAATAAGATTTGGGATCGAAAAACTTGAAAAAGTGCTATAACTGAGAATGTGAGTACAAGTAAGTACCTTAAACTCACGCATAGTTTTACAACAAAAAAAACACGAGGAAGGACCAAAATACTAGTGCCTGATGATATTTGGTTTAGTACATATCGGGCACCGCCGCGGCCACCTCTCGGGGGATCGAAGAACTACAAGTGAGTGCTATCGCACAAACGTTTTATCACGCAATCAAGCAATGACATCTTGGTCATATTTACTAAATGCATAAATTGTGTTATCTAGAGCAGTTTATTCCACCTGAAAGCATACCAGTGGTAAGTGAGCTTATTTCATCATAGCTGAGTATAGCTGAGCATAGCATTATAGCATAACATCATTGCTTCATCAGGTTCATGTGTGGAACATTTCTTCAACATTCTTGTGACGATGCAATGCCGTAAAGGGCGCGTTATGGTTCAGGCAATTCAGAGTCGAAGTAGGTGAAATATATGCATGCAATCATCAATGGATTTTGTTTGATTCGTGTAATCTAATTCCAGGCGTCAAATGTCCCATTGCCTCATGTTTTGTGCACGTTGGCGGCTAGTATCCAAGATCTGCCGCGCGTTAGCACTTCGTACTTTTGGCATTACCTTTATGGTCCGATTTGGCATCATTTGACATTGATAAAAGCGGATGACGGAGGTTACGTGTACCGATAGGCTCCTGCAGACAAATAACGCTATGAGCCAATGGCTGAAAACAGCTCCTTTTGTCTCACATGCTTGCTCCTGGTCTATGATATAAAACATGAAGAGAAATTCATTATTTTGCACTTTTACCAGGCTTGGCCCAGCGAAGCCCATTGGGGATTATATTGACATCCGATGCAGTATGTGCGACCTGTCTGTAAATATGTTCCACGTGACCCTAGCACATCATGTTTCTGAGATAGCATGGAGCCTGCGGACCCTGTTGTCCGATAAAGGTGAGAACAACTCTCGCGCGGCATTGGCCGATTTATACCAGCCGCTGTACGTTCCCTGTGTGTTTTCTGGGCAGAATGATCCCTTCAAGAAGAACACCGGTGGTATGCTGGATTTGGCTGAGATAAAGAAGGGCGGCGACGACACTGATGACGCCTACGACACAGGCATCGGCACGACGTTCTCAGCGGAAACCAACAAACGCGACGAAGACGCCGAAATGTGAGCCAACGTGCCGTAGCAGCTGAATGGAGGGTATATTTCACTAGCGTCATCGTTGCGCTATCGTCTGTGGGGACGCGACGCGGTGAGTTGTAATACTCATTTCAGTTCGCATTGAGATGTATGGATAGCCAAGCTTGTAAGTGTATGGATGATTTAGTGCCGCCCGTCACGACTCTGTGCAATCATGGCACCAATTGCGTGTCTGATGCGATTGAGTCCGATCGTGTTTGCCTATCATTTATAGTTTTTCTCCACTGTGACTTTGTTTCAGGCAAAAGTATATTGAGGCAGAACTTGCGAAACGTCGTGGAGTCCAGGAAAACGAGGATGATCAGCAGAATATGTACATGACACCGGAACAAGTTGCACTCATGGTAAGGGTGGAATGTATCTGCGTGTTGCTAAATCCCCGATTGTAACTGTCAAAGGATAGAAGGCTCGATGTTTTCAGTTTGGTTTATTGCATATTGTTTTGTCGTCGGAGCTGTCTGACTCGTCACGTATTACTTGCACCGCATTAATCGTATTGCTTGATGAGATAAATTCCTTTTGCTCTACTGTTGCATTTTTGTGACAAGAGACGGATTGTAATTGTAACTATCTGACCAATGATGACAAAACTGTCTGACTTATCCGGAATGTAGTACTGAAGCGATGATAACTGAATAGTTTTACATGGAAAAAACGTGACGTCGCCTATCAATGGTTGTGATAAGTAATAGTAGAATAGAGTAGTAGCAATAGTAGATCATACCTGCATTTCATCAAGTTTGGCAGAGACACGTCATGTGATAGAAGCTGCTGTCTGCTAACAAATTATTCTGGGCATCCATAGTCTCACCAGGATCATTTACCTTATTCCTCCGAAATCATAGCTATGTGTGTCATATCGATACACCTCAAGTGTAGAGCATCCAACAAATGCAGTTTGAAACTGCTGGTTTTGTGAAATAGTTTATCCCACCATTTATGTTCACGTTCATTCTAACCAGGTAAGATTGTGATAGCCAGTGATACAATGAGGCTCAGTAAATAACGGTGAGTGTCAGACTGTGCCCGGCGCGCGCCTGATCCGCTTGAGCCTAATTGCAAGTCAACCAGTCGTCAACTGACGAGTAAAGAATTTTAAGGTCCATACATGTTGCCAGCGACGCTGGATTTACGTACTCACAGGGTAAGCTGCTTGTCCTAACATCATTACAGCACTGGCTTTTCTTTGCCCAACACGTGTCTCTTAATGCAGACCAGGTGGAGATATATTACAGCGAGCAGTGTAGTTAACTCTCATGTATTGTCTCACGCCACGTCTCAAGCATTTGCTTGGCGTTTCAGGCTGTACCAGAACATTTGAGAAAGAGCTCAAACAAGAAGTCTGAAGAGATGCTCTCTAATCAGATGCTTAGCGGTATTCCAGAAGTGGACTTGGGCATAGAGTAAGTCTGGATTCTGGGCATCGTAACCAATAACATCACGTGAGGTCGTAAGACATCCCAGAGCATCCTATCATTCATGATGCTGAACCTAGGTGTGTTGTTTTTCATGGTATTTGAGCCACGCGGACTTCGACAAGTGTCCAATGCAGGGTTAATGTGCAGTGCTAGGCTGCCAGGCTGTCGTGGTTCACAGTTTTTATTTACCGTTAGCAATGCCTTTAATGCCCCGTTGTCGTTTTTCGCTTTCGAACACAATGAGTGAATGGCGGCGATCTTAAATTTTTCAGCCCTTCTCAACACGTGTTGGGAACATCTTACCTAAAAAAACAGATATGTGCCATCCCAAGAAATTGTACTGCCAGTATTCACAAACCGTTTGCCGACGTTGTTAAGCAATCCAGCATCTGTTGAATGTTGCGTTCTGTTCCCCAGCCGTTTCCATCTTCACGGATGTTGAGGATAGCAGCCGGTTTTTTTTTTTGTTTTTTTTTTTGCTTCCAGAAGTTTCGAGCCCATTACCGTCAACATTAAATTTCAGAATACCTGGGGCCACGTTGCGATAACAGCACAAATGGAGCTCCGGTAGCAAAGTTAGGTTTCAAGGATGTGTTGGTGTAAACGGTACGAGGTCCTCGGCGTGATCATGAGTCACCGTTATGTCAAAGCCATGGTAGGACTTGATCTGAGATGACGTTACTTCACGCCAATATGACGACACGCAATGATACCACGTGAGCGCTTTTGAGTTTCAGAGCTCGTTTAATGTGCACCTATGATGACTTGTCCCCGCAGCCTTTCTTTGGGTCATACTGGGTTTATGTATTCATGGAGGGTCAATTCAATTTTCGGACCAGCGTGTGCGGCGCCAGTTTAATTGCAATTAAGTGATTTACACAATATATTCCCTATGTAATAAAGGTTTTTGAACTGCTCGCTGAAGTTGAACTATAAGTCCTGTTTTGTGTTCTTATTAAACCCAAAATTACCACTGACTTACGAAAGGATCTGCTGGTGCACATGCATCTTCTGAGACAAGCGCTGGTGTGAACGGCATGAAGGAGGCACACGCAAGGTGTCGATTAACATCCATCCAAATATTTTGATATGACATGTTCTGATGTGTTACTGAACCCGTACAATGCTGTAAGCAGTCATCTAACATGAAGCAGACACCCTGGCTTACCAATGCCTTGCAATGGAATCGTATCACTGGCGTGAAGTTAAATGTATATGCAGTTAAGATCTAAAGGTCGTCTCACATGACTTACCATGTGGCGTCATCAATGACCTAAATGTAAGAATTGGCATGTGCAGGTCTGCATCGTTGCGGTAAAGATGCGGGACGTCTCTCGCCAGTTGAACCAGCCCAGTCGGTTGGTTAATTCCGGGGTGCTGCGGGAGGGCGTTAGATACGGTGTTGGCAAGATGAAGTCGACGTAGTACAAATACACCGGCTGCAACCGCTTGGGTAACTCACTGGTGCCTGCTGTCCCATTGTGGTAGCTTTATTTGTGTACTTTGTGTTGCAGTGCCAAGCTGAAGAATATTGAGGCTACGGAAGCTGCCAAAATGAAGCTAATTGCTGACCAGCTGAATAAGAGTGATGGTCCATCACACTTCGTGCCAACGAATATGGCTGTCAACTTCGTTCAGCATAACAGATGTAAGCTCAGCTGCAGCCGCTTCTGAGTACGGGAAAGACTTCTCCCAACAAGTGCTTCTTTTGCGACTCACAACACGCTCGGCTTGTACCGTTATCCTGACTTAAATGTGCGTGTCGTTAACACGGACCTGTTATCATAGGTTGACGGCTGAATCCCCCGTGGTCTTTCTTGTTAAATTGGGACAATTTGGCCTTGTGGCGACTCGGAACTACCAGTTGCACCCAGCGGTGTTTTGATGAGATGATGTACCGCCAATTCCATCAGACGTGGACCGCAGGCTGGTTCGTTGACGGCGGTTGTCCACCGAACGGGCGTGATGAACCGAGGGCCTCGCCTGGCGTAAACATATCAGCCCTCCGGCACCTCTGCCGTCTCGCGACCGAGGACCGCCCTGTGTGTATGTCCATTCCGTCGCCCGCCCGCAGTCAGCATCAAAGAGCCGGCCAAGCCCAAGAAGCCGGAGCCCAAGCCGGAGCCCAAGCCGGTGCTGGTCGTCGGAGGCGTCAGGGAGGAGGACACGACCGAGGGCAAGCGGAAACAGGGCCAGGCTAGCGACGACTACCTCTTCAACAAGTTCAAGAAGCAGTTCAAGCGGTGACCCGCGTGAAGTGCACGTTGGGTGAATTTTGACGTCCACACACATTGTGGACGCCGACACTTCATTTGCACACATGGTGTCATCGCGATAAAACAGCGTATGTTGCTGGGGATGCAGAGCCGCAACCTGTGTGCGTTCATTGGACTGGTGACCATGCTTGTGAATGATTGTGAGTTCCGTGTCTTCATCACAGCGCCATGTTGGTTGATGATTACGTTGTGTTATTTAATTCCCCCATGCGCATAACGCCATCGAAATGTGCAGACAACCTCTCAGTTAGGTTTCATGGATGGAACGTGTGCTCGGTGTTGCGTTTGTGCAAGCCCGTTAATGCCCTTTTTACTGCTTCTGGAAAATACTCTGAGGCGGACTGCTTTTGGGGAACGACTAAAAATGTGCAGGCCTTGTCCACTTCAATATACAATTGGTTAAGATTTTGGTGTTTTCCGCGTGTTGCTTTGGTCTGATTTTAATGCCTGTACCCAGGAAGCCAGCATGTGTGACGTCCTCATTACAACGTAGTGCGGGGCGATCGTGTTCTAGTGACCAGGGCGCCCAACTCTGGACTTGTCGTTCATGGACTCGGGCCCCTGTCACGCCACCACCGCCCCGCACAATCTTGTTATAGGGAAATTAGCTGCGACACGAAAGAAACAAGTGGTGAACAACGTTTACCAGATTTAGGCGACGGTCGGAGTAACGCTTCTCCTTATGATTACGCAAGGCTTCGCCGCCGGCGTAAAACTAAGCTGCAAAGGCCTACGTTTTAACGTAGTGCCCCGCATCGCTGCCTGAGTGAGGCAACTGGCGGACGAAGTTATTATAGTGGGTCTGATGAACGGGTGATTGGGGTTCGGCTTTCCTGAGCGTGACGCTCGCGTCTCGTGACCCACCGTCACCTTGTGATCACGGCCACGTCCCTCCTATCGACTGTCTCGTCCGTAGTCCACGGGCCGCACACTATTATATGTTTCACCAAACCTGTACAAGTGATGCATAGCTGGACCAAGTAGTCTGTTCACCCTAGCCGTATGACTGCGAAGGGTGCGCGCTTTTAGTCCTCTCGACGGACGCCACGTCACTTTTTTGGGGGCGGGGCCCAACACTAACATCCTGTTGCACCTAAGATGGTTGCGACTTATTGATATTTTGTATTTTATATTTTTGTTTTATTTTTATTTTTATTTTGAAATATTTCCGAGTACCACCTCGACCTGAAATCCTGCCACACACTCCTTGGCGCTGCGTGAATAATGGAACCAAGGAAACAAGGCACGGGTCAACCGCAACAACCAGGGAACGATGAGTTTTAAAAATGTGTCGATCCAAGTCGCATAGCTTTGTTCAGTTCTTACTCGACCCCACGTGTCACGAAAGCCAAGCGTGAAAGACTGCATGGTTTTAACGCTTTATTTCACCAGTACTTGGACGGAGGTAATCACATCTATCCGTAGAGATAGGCGTTTCATCATATTGTGCATCGCCAGAAGACACATGCGAGACCAAAAACAACAACGAGAGGTGACAGGAACGCGCAGCAGTGACCAGCTGGTTGTACAGCCGACCACTTCGTTCGACATCCTTCGACGCCGCCAGCTCGTCCCTGTGCATGAGCCGATCACGGGCGCTCGGTGCGCACCAAAGGTTTGCCACTTACAAACGAATTTGGACGCGAGAACCCATTCAAACAGAAGCGCCTCACGCTAGAGAAACCACTCTGAAATATCCCTAGTAACATGACCAGCACGAGTGTAGAACATACCTAGAAAGATGGCTGAAGGAATGTACACCCAACCCCCCCCCCCCCCCCAACCCCCCAAAACCACCAGCAGTACTTCGCGGGCGGGTACGTTCGAAAGCGCACGCCATGTGGTACAGTGATCAAACGAGGTCGGAGACACGATCACTTGAGCCATTCATAGAATGCAATAGACCCAATAAAAAATATCGTTATGTAGGCACACTGTTCCGCGGCGGCTGTCACACGCCACGCCCCTTGCAGCGATCCACTATGAGCACAGCTCGCCGGGGACCCCGTGCTTACAACAAAACCGCCAGCCCGCCCGAACGGCAAAATGCCGGGGATCGCACGGTGCGCTGTCCGACGTTCGCCACGACAATGTTGTCATGGACCGACAAGCCCGTCTCAGCTGGTCACTTTGGTCATTTGTACGGCGAGCACGACCGGGGGCGTGCAGCAGCGAATGTTTGCGGTTCAGCCCAGCGCATTGCACCCGGGGGGCAGCTGGGAAGGAGTCGCCGCCAGGGCGCACGGACCGTCGCGCCATCCGCACGCGGTCGGACCGCACCAGCGGCCGCCCAGTCCGCACGGACCACCGGCGGCCGCAGCAGAGATGGCGTTCGAAGCGCCCTCGCACCGTCTGAGCCTTGGGCCGTGCCTGTGTACCACACTGTACAAGAGGCGGTCAACGCGTTCGGTTGGCTACTGTAATGCGAACACTGCCCGGATAGTCGGCCGTCGGGACTCCCGGATCAATTTCGCCGGGGCAAACAGTCTTCCCTTTCCTTATCGGACATGTTTGCAGCATGAGACTAGTGGCAGTCAACTCTGAACGGCTAAGATGCGAGATAGCTTCCCCACTCTGAATTATCGCGATGTATCCGTGAAATTAACTCAACCCACGCCTCAAATGAGATCGGCCGTGATGGCTTCACTTATTACCCAGTGGGCATGCCAAGCTGTAGCTCTGGATCCAGCATAGCCCTTCCCATACGTGGCCACGCCACAATGCAGAGTCGGATCGGCGCACATCACCTGACTAGCACCGAGATCAGCTGACTGGAATATGACTAGACGCGTTTGACTGGAGTCTGACTAGACGCTGTTGACTGGAGTCTGACTAGACGCGGCTCACCCACTGGACCGCGGCCTCAGAGGGCCTCACCGACGCAGCGTAGAGCCTGCTGCCGGGGGGCGTGGTCGGCGGCTGGCGCGGCCCGCCCGCCGGCCGGCGTGCGGCCTCCCTACTGGTGCGTGAGCGGTGTGGAGGGCAGCGACGTCACGCGCACATCGTCCGGCATCGGCGCCGTCTTCGTGTAGCGCTTGAAGAAGCGGTTCCGCCGCTTCGTACCTTCGATTCCTGCCGACACAAGGCATGCACACGTGAACGCGGACGCTTCTCAGGTCACTACCAGCAGAGACTGCAATAAACTGATGGGAGGGTACATGGGCGCGCGCCCCATGGTGCGAGCACATCCGTAAGTGGTGATACAATTTCCCGTAAAGTTGACGCTTCGCGCCGGTAAGCTGGGATCATTCTAAGAAGATGGCCTTGGACCCCAGGCTGGTCAGACAGGACATGCCTCTGACTGGACGTGGGCCGGCAGCCACCCGGTCATGGACTCACCATTCGGCTGTGTCGAGCGTTGGGAGGCGCTGGACGAGGTGAGAACGTCCGAGTCACTCTCCTTTGTGCTGCCCTGGCCAGAGTCTTTCTCTAGCGCCGGCGACTCGGGAATCGGCTGAGAACAGGCGCTCTGGTAAATAACGTAACAACACGAGACCAATTGTGGCGCAGAATAAAGGCCGTGATACCAACCAAACTGACGGGGCAAAGTAACCAATCTTTAGTACAAAATGACGCATTCGCATATTTTGTATTCAAGTCAGAACAGAAAGAAAAAACTGGGCCCATATACACTAATTCAATAGAAGACACCAGTAAGTTTGGGCACACCCTCACGTCCATCCCTACAAGAACACCAGGCTTCCGTCCCAAATCTGTCCACAAAATGGAACGACTCCGCTGGAGACGCGAAAGGCGATAATAGCACTCCTCACTTCGGCCATAGTATTGGCTGTCATACCTCAAACTAAAACTTAAGCCAACGTCGTCCATCTCTTCCATCCCCCATACCGTTGCACACATGAGACGCTATGCTCCCACAGGACCCCATCCTACCGCGCACCCGCCGCCGTACCTGGCGGCTGGAGCGCCCGTCCTGGCCGTTGTCGGCGGCGGGCCGGGGGTCGGGCGCCTCGCCGCCGCCGCCGTCGTCGGCCGTTCGCCCCGCGCTCGCGCACCAGCCGGCCCATCTCGGTGCGCGTGAACACTTCCTCGATCTGCGCCTCCAGCTCCGGATTGAGCGGGGTGTCGGGGGACGACGCGGCCGTCGACGCAGGCGGCGACGGCTCCGTCGAAGCGGGGCGCGAGCCGGGCGGCGACGGCGGCCCGACCAGCGGCGAGGCCGCCTCCGCCGCCGCCGGCTCCTCGCCGTCGGCCTCCACCGGCGCCTGCTCCGGCGGCACGGCGGACGGGGCTGACACCGATATCGGCTCCTCCCCCATCACCTGGCGGCGGCACGGACGGCACGCTGCTGACGCTGGTCACACGACACCGGCGGGTTCATCGGGGCGAGCGGCAACGGTGGGGCGCAGCAGCGTTACGGCCGTTTTCTCGCCTACAAATACACGAAAACGGTACGCTCGCGCACAGATGGATCGAAAACAATCGGTTGGATACAGACCGACGTAATACAAGGCTCTTAGGAGGCGCTACATCACCGTCTAAAAATATCAACTTTTGTTAATGACTTAGTCTACGCAAGCGGGGTGACAAATAACCAAAAAAATCTGCACCTGTCATCTTCATCAAACAACTTTGCATGAAACGTACATGAAAATGTCACTTTAAGATCCTACATATAATACTAAGTGCGCACAACGTAATTTGCTATTATTGTGTAACAAGACACTCAAAACAACCAAGTCAGCCTCAAATAAGCTACGGTAGGCTTAAGGCTCGTGCACACCATGCCCGTGAGTTTGTTGTCGGTGCTCAGCCAGCACAAATGAGCTGCGACGGCCCATCACTGACTCTCACCCAGCAGGGGTCAGCCGGCCACTGGCTCTCAACCACACCAGCCACCAGTCCCCAGTCGGCACCGGTCAGCCAGTCACCAGTCCCTAGCCAGCACCAGTCCAGTCAGCCACCGGTCCCCAGCCGGCACCAGTCACCCAATCAGCAGTCCCCAGCCAGCACTAGTCACCAGTCCCCAGCCGGCACCGGTAAGCCAGTCACCAGTCCGCAGCCAGCACTGGTCAGCCAGTCACCAGTCCCCAGCCAGCACCGGTCAGCCAGTGGCGGTGAGTCGGCCTCTCACCGTGTCGGCGGTGGCGGCCGCCTCCCGGCTGCGGCGCACGCGCTCGTCACGCGCTCGCCGCTGCCGCTCCAGGTCAGCGGCCCGCACGGCCAGGTCGGCCGCCACGCGGCTCTCCAAGCTGGCGTGGTTCTCGATTACGTAGTCCGTCAGCCAGCTGGGGACAGGCGAAGCGTAAGGCCACGCTCGGGTCTGCGTCAGCTGGGCGGAGCTGCACATGCTGACTTGCAGCGTACACACAGCGGCAACCCCGGTGTGAAGGGACTGGCACTAACACGTGCTTAGTTTTTCGGAGATATTTTCATCATCAAACGTGAAAAATGTTCCATGAGTCGAGCACTAGTATTGGCCGCCCTATTCTGGCATCCCCGGCCGCTGTTGGTGGCCGCATCCCACAGGCGGCCAGCAATGAATGCGAGGGTCGGCAATGAATGCAACCGTCGCAGCCTTCAGCTCATCGATCACCACAACCTGTCCGCACTTGGAGGCTGGTACCGCCAGCTCACTTGAAGCCGGTGGCCACGGCCAGGTGGCGTTTCTTGCCGGCGTGGCTGGCCAGCCGGGCCGAGCACAGCTCGATGCGCATCGGGCAGCAATGCTGATTGGCGACCAGCTCCAGCTGCAGCCGCTCGTTCAGCTCCACCTCGTCCAACGCCGACGGCACGTCCTGCTTGTTGGCCAGCCTGCCGGAGACAGAAGGACACAGTGAGCTGCTGAAGGAGACGGCGAGCCAGAGCGAGCTTCGGACGTGGAACAAGCTGCCGCTGGCTCCCGACGGAAGCTGACAGTTAGAGCAGGCTCCGCATGGATACCCAGGGTCGGCAATGAATGCAAAGGGAGACGGGAAATGACTACGGGCTGCGTCATGCAGCAAGGGGCTGTCAGTGTAATATGCTTCGACTGTTACCTCACAGCAGACAGTAAGCACATTGGTTGAAAATGTGGTAGACAAATGTTACAGTGAAGACACCAACTATAAGGTTTCACGCTCACTTATTTCTCCCAATATCTAAGCAAAACGGAACAAGTTTCTCTCACATGTAGTCACCAAACCGCGAATAACGTCGCGTGATGAATAACAAATATTGCCAGTGGTAAAAAGTACACATTGCTACTTTCATATCACTTGACGTAGACAAAATAAGTCATTCAGACAACGCGGGCGCTCCTAGCACGCGCTAAATGCTTTTACATATACCTAAATTATATCGTTCGTTCCAGTGCAACTCCATGCTCATCAGCATCACTCCTGGGTGACCACAACACTTCTAATTTCTGCTGCCATTGGGCACACTGTCTCAGCAGACTGCACCACCCGTCGGCTACTGGCGACAGTCCATATCACAGTCGTGCGCCGCCTCCCAATTACAGTCTCGGCGTAGTCTGCGCTGCTTCCTGCGCTTCCTGGTGGGACTGGGCACGGTGCGGATGTGCACGTGGTGGGCGCGGGGTGCGGTTGACACCACCTCCGCCTGCTTCGGCGCCTCCTTAGTGGGCTGCCGGTCTAACCGGGTGCACAGCTGCTCCTGCATGCTCTTCACCACGCGCTGCGAGGCGCTGTGGCGACGCGAGCCGACCACCTCGAGCGAGCGCGATCCACGCACGCCCGAGGCGAGGAGTCGTGCCCGGCAGGCCGGCGCTGCAGCCGCTCGCTCCGGCAGCGGCTCTGGGGCCGCGCAGCCGGTCAAGGCCACCGGCACAGGCGGGCTCGGCATCGGGCCCGGCGGCGCCAGTGTCGCGGAGGAGCGGCGCAGCCGGGACGACCGCGAACCGCTCGGTCGCGGCAGCGGCCCGATTAGCGAGAAGCTGGCGATCGGGTCGGGGCTCAGGTCGGCCGGGATCGGGTCGAGAGTGTCCGGCGGCGGCGCGCCAAGAGTCTTCAGGCAAGAGCACGTGCCGTCAACGCACTGGGTGAACATGCAGCAGAGCCAGCCGATCACGCCACATATGCACCCACTGATAAACTGAACAGTGCCCGAGACAAGCTGGCACCATAACGTCATCGACATCGTCGCAATACAGCAGCCTCCACCAACAAGAGCATTAAACGAAAAACACAAAATGGAAATGCCTACACAGACTCCTATGCAAACGCTATACACTGATACCCAAATTAGTTCGCATATCCAGCTCACAATTCCAATGATGGCAGAGAAGGCAAGTGGGATGCAGATGAATATGAAGCAACGCAACGATACATAAACAACAATGACAATGAATTCCGTGCTACGAATGGACGCTTATTACAATAAATTTGATAGTTCTGTAGCTGCAAATCAAGATATTTTTAGCCGCCTCAGCTATGCACCAAATACAAACTTTGGCGCAGATGTAAATGGCCGCTAAAACAGCTGAAGCCGACATAAATAGACAGTACGAGACAGCCGTCAAGCACCACCAAACGCACTGAATGATGAAACTAACTGCACCAGCCAAAGTGAGAAAAATGTCGGACATTCTTGCGCGGTTTCGATTCTAAGCAATTTAAGAGGTATGCTAACTGCGAAAATATTTCACTTCGATTATTGGAGGTAACTCCACGTCGTCAGGAATCCAATTCGTCAAGAGATTCAGAAAACGATCCAAAACCGACGCACCAAGCGTTACATATCGACAATATCGACGAAGTCGAACGTATTTTCAAGACAGCACGTGACGGGCATATTGCCGCGCCTTTTCCAGTACTCGGCGAGCCGGTGTTATATCCTAGTCGGGCATACTTCACGGGAAACGTGCAGCTTCAGAAAGACTAAACCAAATGTGGAGTAAATCCTTACCCAGAAATATGTGGCCGACAAATGACCAATAAAGCCCTATCTGACGCAAAATAATAGCAAAATTTCATTCCTGCAATGGAAGCTTCGTCCTAGTGCACCTTGTGCTATGCAATGAACACTGCGCCGCAATGCGGGGAAACCGCAGGTACATTGCTTTCCTATGCATAATCATATTTTCAATCTGTACCTATATATTAAGTGCAAGGTAAGCTCGCAATATCGTTGGTCGTCGCAATACCAGCGTAATGACCGCTAACAATACCGACGGTCCAAAGGAATCTCATAGCAGACTAAACAAGCAGAGGTACATAATGAACACGGGATTTAGTCAGAGGCAGATGTTTCGGAACGAGACATGAAAATATGGGTAACGTAGAGCGATATTCAAACTGGAGTTTTAGAACCTTACCAACAGCCCGATGGCGGCTTACTATCGGATAAGTATTCGCAAAGAAGACATCAATTCAATCAGCACCTCAGCTGAACACGTCAACTGAAGGCTACTAACAACGCAATGAACCAGCCGCGGAATCAATTGTCCAAGTTTTCATTCAAATGGTGCTGTCTCGACGAGAGTGCATGATTTGTACGATGCGCAAATAAAGATCCGAGTGTTACAGAGGGATTGCTAAAAATATATTTTTTGATGGCAACAGCTAATGGGTCCAATCGAGGAAATCAGAAATCAGACTACCAAGCCATTGTCTGAAGTAAGTTTTAGACTACTAGTTCCCCGTTCCTCATTCGTGTAAAACGCCTTGTGGCAAACAATTTGGAAAACAATAAACATGCTCAATAGCGCACAAGTTTGCACTTTTTGCCGAACAACTCTTGGAATACAGATAATAAACACAGTACATTTACACCACATCAAACCAAGCCTTTTAAAACCGCGCCACCAAAAATGTGCGACACGAGCGCCATAATGTTCTTCACGAGGCCGCAGCAGAGCCCAATCGCCAGCGCCGCGGTGCGGCAAAACACGGAAACAATCACACATGCCGTCAAGCCCACCACGCAGACGAACACGCACACGAGGTGAACGGCGCCGCCCACGATGGAGGATAGGTCGGAGGTCACGTTGGGCACGGCGACAAACAGAGCAAAGTGGATGCCACCAACGACGAGGCGCACTAGCCAGTAGGCAGCATCGGTGCACTGCAGTATAGCCGAGACCGGTGTCTGCACGGCGTAGTACGTCAGCCAGAACGTTGTCCGGCCCAACTCGCCGACTAGAAGTACCACAGTCCCTGTCGTGAACTTGACGAGCGCGATGGTCTGCACCACTGTCTGGTACGCGAAGTTGACTGAAGTCCCCGTCACCCAGATGGCTGGGCACACGACGAATTGCAGTAGACCATACAGAGCTGACAGGAGACGCCCGAAAATTCCTGGCATGCTCCAATGATGACTTCTATCGCAATAGAGCCGCGATCACAGTTTCTGACTCGACGCCTTCGTTCATATTTACTGTGCACAGGCGCGAGCCATTGCTGGTTCATGAAGCGGCGGAACGCGTTCTTGCGTTAAGGTATTCACGGTGCACGGCGGACGGTCACACGCGGTGGAGAACACGGAGGATGATGAACAACATAGGTAATACAAAAATGACAGCATTATACACAAATACAAAATGCTTTATATCAGTAAAAAGAGTATAATTCCGACGCAAACGGTAAATTTTGAGGGATGTTGCAGCAAGAAAAACCGATGCTCGTGCATGCTGAAAACCGGATCCCGTACTCCACGGTATCAGCGAGGCACATCGACCAAGCAGAAAATTACATAGTTATTCAGAAAAGCAAAGCATTTATACCACACAGGCCAAATTGAACCGTATAACTCAATTAAACTGTGTTCGGGATTTTGTTAGCATGCATGCGAAACATAAAAACAATGGGGACCCAATGGACGTGTTGCTGCCCCGCGAATCCTTTATTTACATATTGGCATGCATGTTGCATGTTATGGTACAGGGATGAAGTAGTCACTCCTCCAAGAACGGGCGCCAGCGCTAAATGAAACGAATATTTATGTCGTATACCACGAGTCAATCCTAACCGCAGGGACAGTAAAACCATCGTAAACCGTAAGCTTCCACATTGGGAAAATCAACAATAACGGAATCTGAAAACAAAATAATTTAACAGCCATGCCATGTAAAAAACCATCCTTTCTGTAAGGATAGGACGGACGAGGGTGATTTCAAATATACACGTCATGGGCATCCCGAAGATTGAAGAGAATAGAACAGAAGGTGGTCCTCAGCAAAACCCTAAATTACAGGTATCAGATACTGACGAAATCCAGTGAACCAACTGACAGCATATTTGTCGCATGCACGAAGCCAAACTCTATTATTATGCCTATTTTAGTTAAATTTGCTCATTCACACACGTGTTTGCATTTCCCTTCGTTTTCGCGGATGGGATGGCTACTCACAAAGATGGAAGGCGCAAGACGCTACGCACCGGTGTTGGAAAACTCGACGTTTCCTGGCATAACGTGTACCAGAAGATTCTGTACTCCAGGCTTGTGACTAGGTAAAATGAAATATTTTGTACTCCATCATGATGCAACAAAAAGTTTTCGGAAAAACTCATTGCATTTCCGTTTCGGGACAAAATTAAACCAGAAGTTGCAAACAGCTTCAGACTTGCTGCTTCCATCATAAGCTATGTATTGATATCTGCACGAGCACGAATCTTGCCCCTACCAGCCTAAGACGTCCAATAGCAAGCAGCCTGTGTTGCCACCTAGGTATAAGATAAGTCATGTGTGGAAATGTGAAAAATAAGAAGTGTGAATGTTGAATGGAATAGTCTTAGAACAATGCCGGGAAATGAAAAACGAGTGGCAGAATCGAACCGGTCTGTAGATAAGCACAACTCTTGCTTCCCACGCCCTGCGAAGACCAACTCAAACTTGAACATGACTCAACCTACCATCGACGACGAACCGCATTAATTGCCAAGGATGCAATGAACGGTCATAGAAAACCACACAACCAAGCACCCACCACAGACGCCCGCCTACTCACGCGCCGCCACTGTGTCATGGCAATGCAAATAAGAAAATCACTCACAATTCAGCGTCGGAAACGTCTAAGTGAAACTCCAAGTGGTGTGCGTCGTACGCACACCACTTGGAGACGCCTCACCCGGACACCATTTTCAATTTTTGCTTGGATGACGGTAAGACAACGGAAGTGCAACGGCATCTTTTCGCGCTCGTATCAAATATGATCAGGTCACCTTGACGTTGGTGTTCGTGCCTCCCAAGAAAACCAGCTTATGGTGTAGAGCAAGCATAATAATGCCCGAAGCACAATGAAATGAAGAATGCTGCTTAAAATGGTTGAATGTGACCACAAGGTCTTAAAGTTGGCATTGTTCCTCAGACTGTGGGATGACTCAGATGCTCCACATCATTGATGTGCTATTTGAAGGTCAAGCAGACGTTCATCACGTAAGACGACGAAAGCCATCAACAGCATCCTTGTCGACTGATGTCTTCCTTCCAAGCTTAATGAAAACTAACGATGTCCTTAAGCTGATGCTTCATAACGTAGCTCTTTTGATGAAAAATGCAGTCTCTCTGACAGTCGTGTGAACTATTTGTAGCTCGAACAGCTGTAAAAACTACCGCGCTTGAGGCGTAGACAGCCTGTGCACTTCACGCTCTGATCAGGTGCAGTCCTGTAAGTTACATCGCATGAAGAGCACAGGCTTCTTCACGAACCGCGGCTGCAAGGCTCCCGATGCCTTGAACAATGCAAATGGAAGGCTTTGGAGAAACAAACACGGGCGTGGCTTTGAGTATCGAAACGTCTCTTAGGACAGGTTGCATAATACGCTCCTGAGGAAACCTACCCTTTAAGGCAGCCCACGGCTTACGATGTTTGAATATTGGTTAGTCTCTGTTTGTTGGTTTTAGCAACGTTTACGACACTGCTATGCTCACCATGGGACTTGACCTTCGCATTCTCACGCCATCCCGCAGGACCGTAGCTCACGCGACGGTGTTAATGGAATGCTCCACATTTGCATGGGGGTTTGAACTGAAATATACATCTCGGAGATCATTTGGGTGCCGGTAGTGTAGTGGTTAGCGCGTCTGCGTTGGTTACTGCGCGTCTGGGAAACCAGAGGTACGGGGTTCGATTCCCCGCGGTGCCCGCCCTTCCTCCCAGGGTGAGAGGCAGGCGACGCCATAAAGCCTCAGTAGCTGAGTGCGTCGTAAAGCCCCAGTCACGCACGCACGCACGCATGCACGCACGCACCACCACACACACACACACACACACACACACACACACACACACACACACACACACACACACACACACACACACACACTCGGAGATCATTCAGTGCACCTCATAGCCCTGCCCTTCTTAAGATCTAAGCCCCTCTAGTTATTCAGTCTGGTCATCCTAGTTAATTAGTCTAGTTAGAGTTAAACGCCCGCGAGGATATGCAGACTTAATCGCGCAGATTATTTCAGGGTCATGCAGGCATCCATGACGCCATTATGCCGTCACTCAAATTCTGTCATCCCTTTGGCCATGCGGCGATTAAAGTCAACAAAAATCTAACTGTTGAAGGCATTCATATCTGACACGTTCGTGGGCACGATTTCCAGATGTAGCCGTCACCAACTGGCTCTCAAGCAATGCTATACAAGGTACGATGGCGCAATCAAACGATAATGTAACGAGGAGCATGTTTACAAAAAAAAGAGAAATTGTGTTGTCTGAAGCATTATGTTCCACTGAAAAGTACACCAATACTCATAAGTAAGCTGATTTCTTCACATCTGATGCGTGCTTCAATACCTTCAAATGTGAAACATTCCTCTTAAGTTTGGGCGCCTCAAACAAGGACCGGACACGTCCTGCAAAACCACATCACCAGTCAGGCCCAAAAGCTGGGCCAGAGAAACATGGAGATCTAGAGAGATACATGGAGGTCTCGTCAGTTTCCTTTCACAGGATTGAGCCTTTTACCAGTGGTTACAAGACACTGAGTAGAAGGCGACTTCAAGGGAAGTCACCACCTCCCTCAGATCAAGGCACATTACCACCTATTCGGCTGCACACGCCGGCCGTCTGCCGGCCATCTTATTCAACACTGGGGTGTTGCCCGCGAAGGCTGCCAGGCTAGGGCGCTCAAGCGTAGAGCTTGCATGCATTGGCTGAGCCCCTCATTGCAGTGCTTCCAGCGTATTACGGCCTCTGCTGCCGGCGCCGCCCTGGCAGCCACCCAGGTACGAGCAGCGCCACTCACAGCAGGACGGGCTTGCCGCGTACGCGCTGGTCCTCGAGCAGGGCGTGTAGGGCGGCGCGGCACTCGTCGGCGCGCGCCTCGTCGCTGGCGTCGACCACGAACACGAGGCCGTGGCACTCGGCCAGGTAGTTGCGCCAGATGCCGCGGATGCCGCGGCCGCCGCCCACGTCGAACAGCTCGACCCACCAGCCCCGGCGGCGCAGCTCCAGGCGCGAGAAGCCCAGCGTCGGCGCCGGATCGGCCACCGCCTCTGTCGGCGCGCCGCGCGACGGTCACCACCTGCGCCGTGCGGCGCACAAGCACTCTCCGCTCTCAGCCGGTGTTTTATATTTGTACTCTGAATTCATGCTGGGTTTGGACCTGCTATCGAAGTGATGGTTTCAACAGGTGTTCACATCAGGCCACTTGGTCACATATGGCAGTGATGACTGCAGAATGATAGCACAAGCTTGTTTTAAGGTCAGCTTACTGGAGATGGTGCACCCCCAGTGTCTTAGTCATATCACTGCTGACCTGGCACATGGTCAGATTTGTTTTTTGGGGGCAATGATGATTATTTGGGCTTTGGGGTGCACCAACTACATTGGTCATATGGCACCCATAACCTACTTCTTATCTAACAGTTGCCTGAAAAAGTGGGGAGATAATGTTACGTTCAATATATGGCATGGAATTGTATGTCTTCAAGATAACTAAAAATGTGACCATCATTTACTGAGTGTTTTTTTGGGGTTAGGTTGGGTGGGTAATGGCCCATATTCTTTTAACTCATGTAATTGGGAATAAATTCATGTGAAATTGTTCTATCTAATGCACACCACCAGGTTCAGGGGGAGAGGTGGGCATGGTACCTATGCTTCCCTAGGCTATGTGCCTGCTTCTGAACATTAAGACAGATCTTTTGACAAAGGGCTGTGCAGCTATAGTCAGTTGTGGTTGTTTAAAAAAGGCTGTCTAATCTAGGCCTAGGTCAATGTCTGTCTAGAACAAAGGAAAAATAGGCCTAAAACCTACATATACAAGGCATGGGAACATAGTCGTGCCTGGATCAATCCTCACAATTATATTCACCATGCACACTTTGTCAAAACAAACCAGTGCAGTTAAAGTATGTTTCCATTTTCTCACCGCCTACAAGACCTTTGGCCGCAGTAGTCTTTCCTGCATTGTCCAAACCAACTAGCAGCACACGGATCCTCCTGAAAAGATGAGGATGCATCAATTAATGGCAAGAAGTAAGACAAAATGAAAGGGTGTATTACCTATTCATGAAAAAATCAGCCTCACTGCATGCAATGCCACCTACTCTACATTATCATGGCAGTATGTATGAATAGTATATGGCAAATTTTGGTAGCTGGCTTCATGAATAGCACACCAACAAAGTGTGCCTTTAGAACTATATTTTGTGTGCATAGGACAGCCAGCTGAAATCAGGTGAAGCCCATGGTGTTGTGAGCAGAGGGCTGTGTGAAATACATAATAAAATGTATACTGCAGGGGCCCTTCATCATGGCTGTGCTCAGCACAGGTAAAAGAATGGTAGATCACAGAACCAGGGTTGCTCTGTTGGGACAGCAGAGTCATGGCCATTGTCATAAGTTTTGACAAACATGGATTCCAACCCTGAATGCCATGCCAGCAGCACATTCCAGTAAATATACAACAGTATTATGCAACATAGGTGTTATCTGTTGATACATTATCATATTGCATTTATATAGCAATTAATGTGATTTATCTATATAGGCATCATCTTGGTAAGCCTCTGCATTGAAGACAGTTCAACTAAGGAGACCAGAAAATACAAATAAATGTCATGCCTACCAGGCAGTAGGTGGGAAGCTTATTGCTATCATCCAAGGTCTGTTGGTTGATATATACCAACCACACACACACACACACACACATATATATATATATATATATATATATATATATATATATATATATAGTTTGGAGAAGTGTGAGAATTATATCTAGCAAATGTGCATCATGCAGACAAAACATTCACAATCATCTCACCTGGCTTCTTGTGGAGTGGGGCTTCGTCTGCTGTAGCAGTGATGGCAAATGACCTGATTTCCCATCATGCAGCATAGTCCTGGACTACTCCATCATGATGGATACCAATGCGAGAAATTCAGACAACGATCTACAATATACGCCAGCCCAACACCCTAGACAAATTCTCGCAAGCACGTTTCCCAAGGCGTCACATCCATAGCCACGATGTACTGGTCTTCGCACACTTTATTTACGCTTGCATAGCGCCAAGACCCTAGAAGTACCGCATGGCGTACTGCACCCAGTTTGTGCACCGAAATCGACGATTGTTTATCATTCCGGAGGCCAATGAGAAACGTGATTGGCCTGAAATCTGTCGAAGTCTACACAACAAGCGACTGTTTTATATTGTATCATTTGAGCCCGTGCACGCACGCCAGGGTGGCCGAGCGGTTAAGGCGCCAGACTTAAGTTCTGGTACTCGTCTGAGTGCGTGGGTTCGAACCCCACTCCTGGCAGTCGCTTTTCCAACGTCCGGGTTGTTTCGTCGTTGGCATCGTGGGATCACTGAATGGGAACCGGGCCGTTTTGCGGTCTGGCAAGCAATTTGACGTGGTTATTGATGGTATTTAGTCACTCACGTTGTTAGTTGCAGTTGTGAGGAACAATATGCGTAAGGGTGACACGGCAGTAATAGCTTTATGCTTTGTGCAAAAGCCAGCAGGAGAGGAGAGAATGAAGTGCTTTGTCCACTTATAGCGGTAACTAATCGAACGTCATAGGCACACATCTTTCCATACGTGAATTAATGTCATCTTTACCAATCCTAGATATTTTCATAATTGTCCACGAAAAGGTCGCAGGCTACGACCGGTTTGTTTCGGTGACGTCAGTTAAGCGTCTCGTTAAATTGCCAAAACGATACTTTAATGCTAGCACCTGGGTCACGATACTTCGAAATTTCACAAATAGAATCGAGTTTGGGGTCCGGGATGGCAGGTGTCACTGTGCCCGAGAATGTCCGGTTGGGTCCTCAGAGATTAAGCTGGACCAAGATACCTAGTTGCTTTTTTATACGCTGTTCATGACGCCTACACCTGAGCAGATGTGTTTTTACGATGCACTATGTCAGCATCATTTTGAGAAGAAAATTGTGCGATTAACTGTGGGTACTCTACTGAGTCGAGGTCACACTGGGTCCATGAAATGTGGACTAGGTAAGCACTGACTTGGACAGTTTGTGCCAAAAGTGCTATGCAGGCACACTGCGTTGGTATTGTTAACATTTCAACACCGTTCGCCTTAGCATGAACTTGACATGGCCATGACCTTGACCTTTCGGGGCAGTGACCATATGCGAGATCCGGGCTGCCCTGCCAAAAACTGCAACTGGTATTACACTGTGTGTATGGGGCGGCTTGAGCGCGCTTTGTAACCTTGCTCTTCATTACATCGCATTTGCACTATGATTGTTCTTGCAATGCAATGCAAGACTTTGTGACCCTATTTGATCTGGTACAGGTGTCTCACGGGGTTTTCAAATTTCAGTCTTCTGAAACAGTCCACAGTCAGCCGCACGCATCGACGTAGGAACAAGTCGGGAGGAGGAAAGAGGGATATGTTCTCCCACCACTCAAGGGGCAGGAATGTTAACGCTCCCTTCCAGTTTTTCAGATGTAATTTGCGATTAGCTTGCTTTTGGACAACCTTAAGCATGTTTGCCGATTCGCCTAGTTTTCCAGCAATTTTGCTCAAACTGCAAGGGACACAACTGCTTAATGTGGTAAATGGCAGCATCTTACCCTGTCATATGCGGCTACCGAAAATATTTAGGAGCAAACGCTAGGCTACCCCGGTCCCAAAGGTTCCATTCTGTCTGGTTATAGTCTTGCTTCCCCTGCATGCCAGCTTATGGTATGTATGTCTACTAAGCATATGTTCATGGAGTTCAAAATGGATATGTCGCAGACGGTTGGCGCAGTCCAGCATGCCAAATAAAAACGAGACTTCTTTAGAGCCGGTGTTTCAAGTAAATTTCGGGAAGTTGCCGCTATTGCACTATAATTGGTTGAAAAATGTAGACACCTTTTAACTGCCACGAGTTCGTTCCGTGGGAAACATTGTCACGTTATTTGCCTGTTTAATATTATGTGTCCGATGCGGCATTTTTAGGCATTTTTTAAAACGTTGGAAGAATATCACGCCTTTCAAGAAAGGTCTAGCTAAACCGAGAATAGATTCAGTACTGACCGAGCTAGTAACCGAGTAGGTGTTGCTCATTGCGCTCTTACCTTATGGGATATTATACATGACTACACTATATACGCTATCTTAAATATCATCATTTGATACTTGCACAACTCCTCATGCAACAAATTGACATGCGAGAGTTGGTGCACCAAGTGCACCAACTCCTCATGTGTCGTCCACGTGGTACCTACCTATTTCAAATGCATAACCTATTTAGAGTAAGTCTTCAATAGGTTGTCGGCAAGTTCGAGTGAGTGCCGGTAGCCAGTGCTGCTGACAACGACGGTCAGGAAGCCCTGAGTTTGCGGAAGACATTTATGAACGGGTTTCAGGGACAGGGGTTTGCCAGGTGCGCTCACCGGGTGGGGGCACAACAATGCAGTACCACGCGCCAGACGTGCCACACCGCGCGTCCAATGCGTTTATCTGGATGGCACGATTCGGCACCTTGTGTCAACTGGTAGACGGTGACAAGCGGCAAGTTTGTTAGTCCCACACTAGTAAAACTTTGAAGAAGGAAGTTTTCGCCTTCCATTATGAAATGCTGCTTGTGTTAAGCCAGGAAAACATGCGTTTTTGTAATGCATTAGCCTGTTCTTATGTTAGTCGAAACGAGTTGCATAGATAGCTATTTTATGCATTTCAAATGATACTAATGCTCATGGAATAGTCACTAGCCTGGTGGACATCGCCACATTTGACCTAGGGTATGTCATGTTAGGTTTAAGGGATCAGGGCTATCGTTGCATTAGCCTGTACGGTTATATTAAAAACTAAACAAGTCACGTCAATGAGAAAACCGCGTTAAAAACATTTAAAAGTGGAACATTGCACCATATGCAGCCGATAATTTTGGGAAACAAAATCCTCATATTTTGTAATTGTTTCAACTTGCGCAAGAATGGGTATGTATGGTTGTCGAAGGCCAGCGGCCAGCTGTGGCAACGAAAACAAATACCGAGAAACGTTTTCCGTGATAAAGCCTGAGAAAATTTGCATAGGGCATATTGGAAGTGTTTCTGGCAGCATGTCATTCATAAACCATCAATGTGATCAAATTAAATCCCGATGTCATTGAAATCGCAAAAAACAAAAAACATTTTGGCTATCACTAACTTTTCAAAAAGCGACCCTGATGTCCGGGGGCGAATTAAGCTTCACCAATGCGCTTTCAAATAGTGAAGCAAAAAATATACTTTTCGTCATCCAAACAATGTTTCTAAGCCTAACGTTATTGAAGGTGACAATAACGCCACCCAATGACATATATGCGAACTAAAAGACCATATCGAGATGTACTCTGCACCAGATGACGAGTCTGGCCATTTTAAGTATAAATTTAGGTAAGCAAAGGCCGTGCAAGGTCAGGTCCAGGCCAAATTTATGTGTCTTCCGTTTAGAAACGTTTAATTAATTCTTCGTTATTGACAGGGCGACCTTTCCGCGTTCCAACGCGCCACATATAGAACCGTAGGTTAACAACCACATGCTTTTTTGTAGCACGTATGTCGCACACCTAATGCGTTTCAAATCTTGTATTTCAGTTGTCCAACACCAAAATATCGCGGATGAAACAAAAACCATCCCAAAACACCACGTCAGTGCACATGCAGACACCGAGCCTCATCCCCAACAGCCTGTGCGGGCCACACTGATCTACAATCCTCCGACACGCTCACACAGCAGAGGGATGTCACCAAAAGGCAAGTTCTCCAGCAGCCCTCTTATGCTGATTTCGAAAGTCACCTCAGCAACACAACTTTCAGTGGCCTCACCGGTGACCATGACCGTTCATCACTCTAACCTCTCTGTTTTCGCGATATTTCGACAGTTTATGCACTCTGCTTGTTTTCCGGTCCACCGGGCAGGATCTGTGGTATCTCAGTGTCCCTATGACGTCACTGCGCTGGCGAGGCGGCCGCTGAGGTTCGCCCGCCGCCTTTGCAATATCTGCCCTTGAAACGTGAATGGATGCGATCGCGGATACAACCTTTCATTCAAAACGTGCACACGTCCTCGGGAGTGAAAAGCTGTTCTGCTAAGGTGCGCCGGAGGCTTCATTCACGGCAAATGGCGCGTCTTTTCGTTCGACCGATCCCATCGCGCGCGTTCGACCGATCCCATCGCGCGCGTTCCACCGATCCATCGCGCGCGTTCCTCCAACCGATCCCATCGCGCGCGTCCACCGATCCCATCGCGCGCTTCCACCGATCCCATCGCGCGCGGTTCCATCCACCGATCCCATCGCGCGCGCCTTCCCGTGAGAGTTGCGGAGAGTTCCACTCGCATCTCACACAGGGGAACTCACTCGCTGTGACTGCACACACTCACAAAGTTGGGTCTCTTTTTTGTTCTGGGATCCGCTCCCGTCGCTGAAGTAGAGGCTTTGTTCAGCTCGGTCGCCTGGTTCTTCAGCCCTGTCGCCTGGTTCTTCAGCCTGCCGCCTGGTTCCTGACTGCTGGCACCCAGTGAGGCAGAAACGCGTGCGCCGTATTGACACTTTGCTTGGTGCAGGCTGATATGATACAGAAGCTTTTAAGGCATCTTGGGTTACTCCTGATACTGAGGATGGTGCTGCTCGCCGTCCTTGATCCCAGGACACTATAACGGGTGCACTGCGCACTGATTCGTGTCCCAGCGGAAGCCCTGAACGGCGTCTTGCACTTTGTCTTGTGTGGGAAGTGCCCAGTAGGACAAGGGTTAAAAATCGTAACATACCTTACCAGGTCGTCACCGAATTTTTGACGTCTTTCGAGGCGTTGCTTGGTGTCGAAACGTCGATGTGCGTGGTTTGTGACAGCTTTCTCTTGACAACGGCGCGCCCTTGCACAGCTCGTCAGTGCCAACGGAGCGCTTCCGATTGGTTGTCAGCCGCTCTACACGTGTCCATCCTCAGAGATGTTCAAATACACCACACTAGTGTCCAGTGCACGCATGAATTCAGACGCGGTGTCGTTGCCCGTTTACCACCCTGGTGCACATCTCAATTTTTATCAGAAGCCTCGAAATTTTCCCATGGTGACCACATATGACAAATCCCTACATCTTGCATGAC